CATTTTTATTGAACATGAAATGTAGATGTTTTTGATTAGGATTTTTATGATTTAGTTGTATTATTGGCTGATATTAATTGTTGTGTTTAATAATATAATATTGATAATTTTATTAATAATATTTATTTTGTACAGTATTAATATTTATGTAGTATAATAAATTTTGCAATGTTCATGTTTCAAGTTGTTTAATTTTGTATATATGTATTTAAAGTTAATTCTATAATTTTTAATTTCTAAGTAAAGTAAACTGTGTAATATTTAATTTTGAGTAAAGTAAATTGTAGAATATTTAATTTGTAAATAATATAAAATTATACAATATTTAATTTATAAATATAGTAAACTGTATAATATTTAATTTCTAAACATAGTAAATTATGTAACATTTAATTTTAACTAAATTAACTTCTAAAATATTTAATTTGTAAATAAAGTAAAATTGTGCAATATTTAATTTTTAAATATAGTGAACTACATAATATTTAATTTCTAAACATAGTAAATTGTATAATATTTAATTTTAACTAAATTAAATTCTAAAATACTTGATTTTAACTAAATTAAATTCTAAAATATTTCATTTCTAACTAAAATAAAATTGTATAATTAATTTCTAAATACCGTAAACTATAATATTTAATTTCTAAGTAAAATACCTTGTATAACATTTAACATTTAATTTCTACCCAAACTAAATTTCATAATACGAAAATTCAAGTAGAAAATAGGAAAACTAACAGGCGGAAAATAAAATTGTGTCGTCGTTAAAAGATTAAAAATATTTTACAAAAATTATGTGATAGAAGAGAAGCCAACATTGTCTCATTCGCGTGTTTCTAGTCTCTGGGTCGTTTCAAGAGAAAGCTTGTTGACCGTATTATTTTTTCCTCCACTTTGTTCTTCTCTGAACAGTATGAAAGGCACATGCTCTTTAATTTCACGGTTATTGAAAACCAACATGCACTTCAAAGTAATAAGAATTTTTTTAATTATCTGACGAGATAAGTACAGGGTGATTTCAGAAATGAACAAGGTATGAAGACAGGAATTATAAACTAGGTATAAATTTGCATCAATTTAAATATTTTGCATTTTGGAGGACGGTGAGTACAGTGGAGATCAACAAATTATTTTCAAGGTTTAATGAATGAAGTTTTGTGTTAAATACAGAAATCATTTGTTGTGACGTCATTCTAAAATTACTGAATTTATTAGTTTTTTAAATTTTGTGCTGTATTTCTAAATTTCTAAATTTTCATATTTTTATATTTTCAAATTTTCAAATTTAAAAATTTCTACCCTTCCAAATTTCTAAATATCCAAATCCTCAAATTCTCCACTTTCAACATCACCAAATTCCAAAATTTTCAAGTTCCTAAATCCCCAAATTCCAAAATTCTCAAATTCTCAAATTCACCACTTTCAACATCCCCAAATTCCAAAATTCTCTAATTCTCAAATTCACCACTTTCAACATTCCCAAATTCCAAAATTTTCAAGTTCCCACAACCTCAAATTCCAAAATTCTCAAATTCTCAAATTCACCACTTTCAACCCCTCCAAATTCCTAAATTTTCAAATTCCTACACACCCCAATTCCTAAATTCTCAAATTTCCAAATCTCCCAACCCCAAATCTCCAAAATTCCAAAATCCAAGTCTCCAAATTTCCACCTCTCCGAATTTGAAATACCCCATATAATACCGCCATCAGAATGCACCCCTCAAATCCACAATAACTACTTTAAAACACAGTTCACCTCAACCTTCACCCTCGCATCGATAAATAACAATTCCTCAAGTGGCCTCCGTAACACATCAAATAATAATTCCACAAATGGCACACTTGAACCATAAGCGAAGAGATTACGAATGAAATTGGCAAAGCAACAGCAATCGATATTACTCTCAATTTGCAGCACATTCCGCTGACACACTTATGTACGTTAATCAGGTGAAAAGAAATGCAAACGCGTATTGATCCACAGTTGCAACGTTCTAAATATGAAGAAATTCCTTATGGGTCTCACGTGTGCCGCATATTCTCCCCGAAAAATGAAGCTCTTTCTATCCGTATCTCAGCTAACTTAGCTATATCTATATGCATATACGCGACTCGCATAATCGAATCAGACGTAAGCACGAACGATGTCCCGGAATCTCGTTCTTCCTTTATTCCAGAGATTCGTGCGAGCTACACAACGATATTTCAGAAATGAACATCGCATCTTAATGGAATTTCGTTTATGGATATCGGAGAAAAATGGTATTAACTTGGCAGCTGATTCGCGACTTCTTCTCATATTTTCTCGGAAAATTGTACGGAATGGTGGCAGAAATTAGTGGACACTTGGGAGACGTTAATTCGAGTGATTTTGGCACTCGCTTTTGACCTAGAAATCGTGGTCTTGCAATTTTCTTAGCGTTTCTTTTAAACCCCTGTCTATTTTATTTGACAGGTACGTCGGAACTAACTAATCACAGCTGCAATGTTAATTTTGTCTTAAAATTGTACGAAATGGACGTAAAAATTAGTGGATACATGAGAAACGTCAATTCGAGTAATATTTGATGGCTTTGGCACTCGCTTTTGACCTAGAAATCGTGGTCTTGCAATTTTCTTAGCGTTTCTTTTAAACCCCTGTCTATTTTATTTGACAGGTACGTCGGAACTAACTAATCACAGCTGCAATGTTAATTTTGTCTTAAAATTGTACGAAATGGACGTAAAAATTAGTGGACACATGAGAAACGTCAATTCGAGTGATATTTGATGGCACTTGTTTTTCAGAAATCGTGGTCTTGCAATTTTCTTAGCGTTTCTTTTAAACCCCTGTCTATTTTATTTGACAGGTACGTCGGAACTAACTAATCACAGCTGCAATGTTAATTTTGTCTTAAAATTGTACGAAATGGACGTAAAAATTAGTGGACACATGAGAAACGTCAATTCGAGTGATATTTGATGGCACTTGCGTTTGACTTGACATAACTGTCTCAGAATTTTATTTAACCCCTTGTCTATTTTATTTGTCAGGTGCATCAGAACTAACTAATCACAGCTGCAATGATAATTTTATCTTAAAATTGTACGAAATGGACGTAAAAATTAGTGGACACATGAGAAACGTCAATTCGAGTGATATTTGATGGCACTTGTTTTTCACTTGACATAACTGTCTCAGAATTTTTTTTAACCCCTTGTCTATTTTATTTGACAGGTACGTCGGAACTAACTAATCACAGCTGCAATGTTAATTTTGTCTTAAAATTGTACGAAATGGACGTAAAAATTAGTGGACACATGAGAAACGTCAATTCGAGTGATATTTGATGGTACTTGCGTTTGACTTGACATAACTGTCTTAAAATTTTATTTAACCCCTTGTATATTTTATTTGTCAGATACGTCAGAACTAACTAATCACAGCTGCAATGATAATTTTATCTTAAAATTGTACGAAATGGACATAAAAATTAGTGGACACGTGAGAGACATCAATTTGAGTGATGTTTGTTGGCATTCACATTTGACCTAAAAATCATAACTGTCTTAAAACTCTCTTAGCACCATTTTGTTTAACCCCAATGATTTATCAGGTGCGTCAGTCAGAGGTAACTAACCACAGTGACAATATTCAAACAAAGAAAGGTAAAATGTTATGTTAATTTGTTATTATACAATCATTGACTATACAAATTATTAAACTTGAACTTCAAATTGAAATTTAATAAAAATTCGATTAAAATTGATCATAGCTAAAGTATGAGTGCGTCACGAGTCAGACTCGTCAATATATTACTTACAATATATTGTTATTAATTACCCACAAAGTACCTAAAGTAAAAATAATTAGAAATCTATAAAGAACTGAAAAAATGATCAAAATTGAAGCATTCGTTAATGATTGGGATTAAAAGGAGAACTGCAATAAACCGATATTGCAAAGTTTCATAAGATAAAAGCGAAGATAAAGATATAGGGATAACGTGTCCGATCAAGAACTAATCGAGTACGATATTAGTCTCGATAATAGAATATTGATTACCAATTAATCTCAAGGGGACGAGCCACTGAATTTTAAGCCGGGTTTACTTTAACGCTTATTATAATACGTGCTCGGTGTATATGGGTTGCAACCTACTTGCAGAAATCACCATGCGAGAAAAATTCTTAGAAACTTGGAAAAAATTGATAAACTCCAAGTTTCATGGCGTGTAAGAATCTTGTGCGCTCGGAGACCCGTCCGTGGCAATATAATGAGAGTCCATCGTACATTCATGAAGGACACTTCACCTATTTTATACTTCGGTGTAAGGAGAGAAATTGCACTGTTGCATTATTTCTCTCAATGAATTTTACAATGTGTAATTAACTTGAAATCGAGGTTTTTTTTGTTAAACGGGGTATTTAAGGATGTAGATAATTTATTGTTACTGATTTCATTTTTTTTTTGGTTAATATTTTAGACTGTTGTATGAGCATTAATTAAGTTATTTAAATTTCCATATTTTGGAATTTTTGGCTTTTTAGAAGGTCGTTTATCAAATTTGTCGATTTACAAATTAGGAAATATTTATGTTATCAAATATCACAAATTAAGCAATCTGCAAATACTTAAATTGACAAATCACCAAATCTTCAAATCCTCAAATTCCAAATTCCTAAAATTTAGCAAAATTCAACCATTTCAAAAATTCCTAAACTTCCAAAACTCCAAATCTTCAAATTTCCAAGTGTCCAAATTTCAATACTTTCTCATATATCCTCAAAATCTTATTTGTAGCAAAATTTCTAATAAGACAAATATTAACATAATTTCCCTAGTTACATCCCTTGCAACATAATTCCATCAGCAACTGATAGTATCTGTAAGGTATCTCTTCTAACCTAACCTAACCTAACCCGTATATAGAAGATACCGTAGTACCCAAAGTGAAACCTGCTTAGTATGCAAAAGGGTTAATATAAAGAAGATAAAAAACGAAAGAACGTACCTTTTCGTCCATTTTGGATGCGATATCACCAACGGCGTTTTCCGCCGACTTGACGATAGCTGCAGCCTGTTCCTTTCTCGACATGTGGCCTCGGAAAGATGCCTGGATTTTCGTCGCTGCTTCGCAAAGCTCTGTCAACGGGAGAAAAAGATAGCCTTAACTTCATGTCGATAGTCGAGTCTGGGATCGATACGCTTCCTTCTCGACAGACGTACGAAACAGGATTGGGGCGTTTCGACTCTATCGAGAAGGCAAACGTGTACGTGCCTTTCAGCATCAAATTCTCGCAACTTTCGTGAATTTACTTCTCGATGGAACTTACGCTTCGATTCATTCGATATATCATATTGGAGATATCGTTTTTATTATTAGTCTACGCGAGGGTAGATTCTTGGGTAAATGATGTTGAATGTTTCATTTTATTTTTGGTTAAAGGTTGAATATTTCATTTTATTTTTGGTTGAAGGTTCAATATTTCTTGTATTCAGAAATTTACAAAATTGGGATGTTATATAGTTTTTCATTTTTTATAGTTGTAGAGGGTTTCTAAGTACAAAAGAAACAATTTCAATAACCACTCACGAATTTTTGTTAACAAACAAATTTCTGAACAACTCTTATGGTACTTTCCCGCCAAAAAATACAACCTTGCACCTAACCTATACACATAACACATAACCGATAACAACCCATAAATTAAATAATTGAACATCTGTCAAATAGTACTAAAATCTCAATAGCTATTTTCAGTAACAAATTTTCTCCAAGAAAAAAAAAATTAAATTTCTAAACACCTCCCATAACATTTCCCGCCAAAAAGTATGACAACCTAACCAATACACCTATATCCACAAATGAAATAATTAAACCCATGTCAAAAATACTGAAATCTCAATGAACGAAAGAAAAGAGGAAATAAAGAGGTAATTCAATTTTCACAAAATATCACCGATTTGTGAAAATCACGCTCTTAATGGTAAGAGCTCGATAGAATCGCCCGTTGAATTTCGATGCGATCTGAAATCCGCCAGGGTTTCAGGAACGTGAGAAGATTGACGTTGAAGGTAGAAAAAAAGGAAATGTTTAAAATCAAAGATGTTCCTTCGGGATGATTTGAAGGGTTGCTACGTGACACACTCACCCTTGTCGTCGGAACGGAACTCCTGTTGAAGTTGTTCTTTCGTTGGTTCTGAGTTTGATTTGGTCCCTGTCTGCTTTGTCGATGATTCAGTCTCTTTCATACTCTTCCTAGCGTGATGGCCGCGGAATGCCGCTTGTATCCTGGTCGCGGCTTCCTCCCTTGTTTTCTCTGCTACTTTGTCTTCGTTCTTTTGCTCCTGTTTAGAGTCCTTCGATTCTTCCGACTTCTCCTGCGTCGCTTCCTGCGATTCTACTTTTGCTGCACTGCCTTCGGATGCTTTTGGAATATCTGCAAACACAATGAAACATCGTTGAAGATAAGACAAGTTATACTTGAAGAGTATTTGTATCGTACAATATCTTATTTATGCAATATCGCATATTTTGGTGCATTATTTTTTCATAGCACTATACGTTATTAGAAGTGAAAATTGATAGCTAGCTTATAGTGGGTGATTCAATTTTTATATTCAAATAAGGTTGTATATTTTATAACTTCAAGTGGAACAAATATTTTTACTGTAATGTTAAAATACATTATCTTATAATATTTAAAAGCTCCTAAAAAATGTTATTTACATATTTTCTGCATAGTTAATTGAGAGAAGAGAGTTCAAAAATAATTATAATTTTGTCTTTTTAAAAATTTTAAGTACACGATATCGTATGATGTACATTGTTTTTTACCGATTCATAGCTCAACTCAAGTGTATCGTTCACCGAGAGATTTAATCACAGACTTTGAAGCACGAGTACACGTATATACGAATCTCTTTGAAGCGATCTTGATTAGACACTCCATCCTTTAGGAATTCCTCGTTGCTCTATTTCAGCTTTGTTTGAGAGGTCTACTGAAACTGATCGCTATTTGTATGAGGCACATACATCTATGTACTTATTTAACCCCCATATGGTTCTCGGAAACATATTACACACAAGATCCTTGGTATCACTCATCCACCTTGATTTTTACTTAAAATACTTACTAATTTTTACATGCTTCAATTTTTGAACAATTTTATAACTTTATAATATTTCAAATTGAAAGATGGAAGCTTGAAAATTTTTAGAAGTATGAATCTTTGAAACTTTTAAATTGAGAAATTCTTAAATGTATAAGTCTAAAAACATTCAAAATAAAAATTTTGGTTTCCAGATTTAGTCAACTTCGAGGTAATGAAACTTTCCAGTTAAAACGAAACTACAAATGAGAATAAAAATGTAAATGTAAATGATACTTTAAATAAAAAAAAATGTAAATGGTAGTTTAACTAAAAAAGAAAATGTAAATGGTACTTTAAATAAAAGTGCAAATGTAAATGGTACTGTAAATGCAAATGTAAATGATAATGTAAACAAAAATAAAAATCCCAAAAAAATAAAAATGAAAACAAGAATGAAAATGAGCACGAAAAAGAAAAAAATAAAAACAGAAAATGAAACTCGGCCATAAAATTCGAAACAAAAAAAATGCAGATATCAAAACGGATTCGTCTCGAGGACAAAAACACGCAGGTGAATATATTTGAACACGTGTCCTCGTTGGAATAAGGGACGCGTAAGAATATATTGCAACGTATTACGGGTAAAAATGAAAGAAGAGAATGAAGTGACGTGGGTGGTAACAAAGAAAGCCGTGAATCATTGCCGCTACACTACCGGTGACACGTGTACACGATGAATACACGTGCACTTCCTCAGTTAGGCGAGTCTAATTACCGCCTTCATATTTCGTGCAGCAATTTTCGTCCTATTTTTAAGGCGGCACTTTGCTTTTTCGCGGCACGCCTCAAGGAATTCCTTTCAGGAGAAACATCTCTGATATAAAGGAACAAAAACGAACGGGAACAGACGAAATCGCGAATTAAAAGGAACAAATTTTGTATCCACGAATCGGGGATATGGATCAATTTCAAAGAAACTTTTGAATACAAAGGGGAAACTTTTTGGTTCTGGTACTTGAACGGACAAAGGGATTTCTTTCGGCTTTTTTATTTTTATAGATATTTTTAATATTTTAGTAATGTGTAATACAGTAAGTTATTCAAAATAATTACAGTACAGAATATTAAATGTTACGTATCAAGTTTAGTAATCGTATTTATTATTCGATGATAATTTCATGTAATATCTTTAACTTCACTCGGACAAATTATATTCGTGTTATATGTAGTATACAGGGTGTTACAAATTTGGTGGAACAAACCATATAGATCATTTTCTATGAAAAAATATAAATAGCAGAGTATTTATGGTGACATTAGTTCATATGTGATTTTATGTAACATACAATTATATTCATATTGTGTTTAATATACAGGGTGTTACAAATTTTGCGGAACAACCATAAACATGATTTTTTATGAAAAAAATAAATAGCAAAAAATTTATAGTGACATGTGTTCATATGTGATTTCATATAACACACTATACAATGATATATTTAATTAATATAGTTAGTGTACTTAATACAAATACTATTTAACATAATGATATTACATGAAGTAAATACTATATCATTTATGTTATAAAGATAATATATTACCTCTAGTATAATTCTGCATACAAATATATTTATAAATTTCTACCATTACTAAAAAATACATCCAAAAAATGTTTGTCCACCTTTTACAAATTAAACATAAACAGATAAGTTATTTTATGGATAAATGTTTTATACGTAAATTGGTGATCCGTGATCTGGGCAATATGGTCAGAAAACGATTTCGTTGTTCTTTTTGCCTTTTTTTTTTACGACGCTATGAAAACTCGACGAGGATTTACGGGAACGTAAAAGTTGGGTCGAAAAGGACGAAACAGGGTCGAAAGGAAATATGATGGCTAGATTAGTTTCTTTGTCCTTCTTCCACTTTCGTGTACAACAGTTGGACGAATTTAATTTCAAAGGTAGGTTAATTCGTAATCAACAGGCAGCTGTTGATTCCGGTGAAATTCCGGAAATTTGTGAATGAAACAATGGTAATGTTGTTGTCCCGAATTAACGAGGCTGAATTATAGTGTTTAAACGACTTAATTTACTGTAAACGCGAAATTAACTACGTGTTTACGTTACAAAATGTGCTGTAATCAATTTTGATAAGCAAATAAAAGGTGTGCGAGACTGGTATTTAGAAGGTGAATGTATATTTAGAGTTATATATGAAAGAGGTTATTGGTAATAGATATATTGCATAGTAGTAATATTTCCACTTATAAGGTTTTTATTATTTGTTGATAATATGTGGGTTTATATATACGTATGTGTTTTAGAATATACTTATCGAAAACACACGTGTATATGTATATGTGTACAGGGTGTCTCACAACTAGTGTAGGTTCCTGAAATGGGAGGTAGCCAACGTGACCAATCAGAGCGTGAGGATTACGCACGCGCAGACGCGAGAGCGACAGTTGCGAGCCTAGTAGCTGAGCGCGCGCAATACTCGCACTCTGATTGGTCCGTGCTCAGCCATTCCCCATTGGTCACGTCAGCTACCCCATTACAGGGACCTACACTAGTTGCGAGACACCCTGTATACATATTAATATCACTTGAAAATATACAGTAAAACATTTATACATATAATATAACAACTTTATACACTTTAATACTATATACATGTAACATTAACATAAAATTCCCAAAACTTCCAATAATGTAAACCTATATTGACCGTACGAATTCTGAAATATTACCAATATATCCCACACTCTCATTACTTATATAAAATCTACAGAAAGAATATCTATTCCTTCAATGCACCATGTCCTATTATTTTTTATTATTCCTTTCCCATTGTAACCCATTTCCCTTCTTTCTATCACGAACACGGATCTTTGAATTTAAAAGATAAAGTCCACCTCCGTGAAAAAACTTGTCATTCGACTTAACAGTTTCCTCCGCACTTAGTTACGCAATAACAAGATTCAACGAATATTAACGGCGGACAGAAAATCTGAAATAGGAGGACACAATAAAACGAAATTAGAACGTTTATCACTGTACAGAACGCATAATGATGTTTTCCTCGATTGTTGCGCATCTTAACGAGAGTTTACCAAGTCATTCTGAAACCGAATGAAGATTTAACGGGGCAATTAGCCTTCGTTAAACAAGTACCCCACGGGAATTCGTATTCCAAAGGAGGACAAATTTGAAGAACGTAAGAAATGAGCAAGGCAGTAATCCGTTTGTGACAAACGGGCTGAACTATGATTATACTCTAACCAGATATCGTAAGCTTTGCTTAAGCGTATCTGGGACGCGGAGAAACTTAAACATACTCTGTTGACGATTGATTATTAAATTATAATTTTTATGTCTTACTTAAACTTTACATTTGACGATTTTAGTTTTTAAGGATTTGAACATTCTTATTTTAAGCACGTTTCAATTATAATTTGATGGAAATAAGAAGCCAAATTTGAATGATAGTTCAGTTGTAATTTAATTGTATTTTTAGTCTGAATTAAAAGTTTCATTTAACAATTGAAAGTTAAATGTTAACTGAAAAAATTCTGAGGTAAAATTTTTAATCTTTCACGTAGTTTCAATAAAAATTTAATTCCTTAGTTCTATCAAATTAACTCGACCTTTTAATGAATTCAATAAATAGATCCATTTCATAGAAATTTCAGTAATACTAAAATTTGCATTAATCATAATAAAAAGTTGATTACTTCTCGCTCACAAAATCATCCACTCAGCAATTCAGTTCTTAATTAAAGAAAATTGAACTACGAATGAAAGATTCATAACTAATTAGTGCTAACTGAAATGAAGGAGTTAATTAATTATCCAAAACCTTGATCCAAGGATGAAAAAGCCAAATCCTCCACGAGTGAACGTTGAATTTTAAGTGGCTTCCAGAAGTCTCACCTTCACCTTCCACTAATTCATGGTTTTTAGCGGGGATAACACGCGATAATAGGGGGTACCGTTTTAGGGGTAAGTTTCACCTTTACCCTTCAACCGTTAACGAGCGCAGGCTGACGAGCGTTCGAGCGGAAAGTTCAACTTGCAGCTTGTTAAACAGACAAGCATTTGCACACTCGAAATTTTGCCACGCTTGATTTATTGTGACGAACAAATCTGACCCATTTTGAATTTCAACTTGTGGATATCACATTTTTAATCGTAATTATTTTTACCAAATAATGAAGGTGGTGGAGTACTTTAGGGAGGATGTGAAATTTCAAGTTTTGCATTTTTTAATTTTTAGGTTTTATATTTTTAGATTTTCAAGTTTTCACATTTTTAAATTTTCAGGACTCTAAGTTTTCAAATTT